GCGGGCCGTAGGCCCGCAGATCGTCATTGCCCAAAAGTAACGAATTCTGACCTATGTCTGGAAACAAGGCCTGTAGCTATCACAGAGTGGGAGCTGACAACACCCTCCCCAGAGAGAGAGGGCTTATTTGATGTCATTCCGTCGCTTCTGCTCGAGCCTTCTTGAGGACAGCTATAGGACGAGGGCAGCCATGGCAAGGACTCCAGCGTCGCGCAACATTGGTCGCGTGCTGGCGCTGCTGGCATTGTTTTGGGCCTGTCAGCCAGAGCCTAAGACAGGTGCTTCTCAGTGTTAGAGAGGGTTTCTGAGCAGCTTCAGGCCAACCGTGCAGACAGTGCACACTGCCGTTGGAGCCCGGGCCGTCCCCTTTGCAAGGCGGGATGTGACAACATGGTGCACCGAAGAGCAGAAAGCCAAGCGAGGCCTCCTGCGGGCGCGTGGGCGCGTAAGCCCCTCATTGCACGCAGGGCCACGAGCAAGGTGGGGGTCCAAAACTGAAAAGACTGTGTCAAGCCCGGCCGGAGAAGCTCAGGCTGATGGCCAACATAGTGAAGCTGACGACAAGGAAGATGATGAGGCAGGAATGGTTTGTCGGTTCGGAGTTCGGAGTGACACCCCTGCTTTGCTGCAAGGTGAGCAAGCTTGCCAAAGAACACGATGAGGTTCAGAGCTACGACGCAGATGAGGTGCTTTGCGTCGTTCTTATGTCGTTCCCTTTAGACCTGCCCTGGCTTTCTCTGAAGCGTCTCTTGTAGGTGCTTCGATGGGTCCGACAAGTCTCTCGCCCCAAGGTCGGAGATGACGAGCGTTGTGCTTGCGGAATCTCAAAGCACCTGCTCCGAGGACATCGACGAGTTTGTGACTCAAGAGTACATCGGGGAAACCCTGCTGGAGAAGAGCGCGGCAGAATTGGACAGAAAGCTCAAATTGCCAGACGGGCCAAGAGAGAGGCTGGTGAAGCACATCAAGAAGCTGAAAGCGGCCGCCGCCGCTCGACTGCACACATTGCCGTTGCTGCCGGGCAGCCGCAGTATCGGAGCAAGCTGAGGCCGTCAGAGATTTCAAGAAGAAGCTTGAAGATGAAGGCGCTGATGAGGCCCGGGGGCTTCGGAGTGTAGCCGTCCAGCACGGGTTGCGCCGGCATAGGATCGAATCACGATGGTCGGCGGCGGCCTCGGAGCTGTGGGAAACGCGAGCCAGATGTGGTGGGGACGGCGCTGGCAGGTGACATGCTGTCGGCGCTGGTGAAGCTGGATGCAAAGACTGTGATGAGTTCAGCTCTTGAGGATCCAGATGTCCAATCGGTCGCTCAGCCGCACGCTTTATGTTCTTGCCTTTCGGGGTCTGAGCTGTGGATCCGCCTGGCCCAGGTGTTGGAGCAGGCCTGTAACGCAACCAGAGACGATGTGAACAGCTACGAACCACTTCAAGTAGCTGCATGGATTGCAGCAAACCTGGTTTCTGCCAAGTACGACGCTTCTGCGATCCAACAGGCCAGGGGTGTAAACTCGTTTGTACCATCCGACCGTTCAGTCTTTTTCCTTGTTTGAGGCACTTGCGAAGCTGACTGGGATGTTGCCTCGACAGCTGCTCGAAGTCACGCAAGGTGAGCTCGAGAGCCGGTACAATCTAGAGGCTGCGAAAGCGAAGTTCCTGTTCAATGCGGTTCAAGACTTAAGCGATCCTTTGGCCGCTCTGGCATGAACTAGTCACTCTTCTTTTGGGGCGGGCCTGTTTTGTGGTCAGTGTCACGTCAGTTGGCATGTTTCAGGGCAGCCCGTGCGCTGAAAGGTGTTGACCTTTCGGGACCTCGTGAACGACAGCAGCTATCCAGAGTTCCAATACAAGCGTGTTTGGGTGTACAGGCTCCTAACTGACATACCAGAATGTGGGTACATTGAAGATGCGCAGCTCTTGACAAGCACAGTCGGCGGCGAAGTGGTGGATGTGGCAATCGGCAGCAGGAAGGGCAAGCGCTGTATTCCCGTCTTCTATGGTGAAAGTGGCAGTGGGAAGACCCTTCAGTCTCAGCTTGCGCCAGCCCTGAAGTTAGGCAATAATTCCTGCATAGTTCGCGTCTTCAGCAAGACTCTTGACGATGACGACCCAATCCTCGAGAACATCAGGCACGAACATGCGCAAGAGAACTGGCAGAAGCGCAATGCCTTGTGCAAGAATTGGACTCTCACCATGCTCTTTGCACAGATCAAGAGTGCTTTTTGGCCACATGATGAGGTGGTTGAGGCATGGTTGGGCAATTCAAGCCGGAACAAACAAGACCTTGGCACCATCGTGTTTGTCATTGATGAGGTTAGCAAGTGCATAGAACTGGCTCGCGGGATCTCTGCAACGCAAACTGATATCTACACCACGCTAGAGCAGAAGTATTGCCTCTCTGCTCAGCTTGTCATGGCAGGAACGGCTGCTGCATACATTCTGGGCACTCCAGGTACAAGTGTGCTCAGTACCGATCCAAAAAAGGTTTGCTTGACGCACGTTGGCCTCGTCCAAGGCTCGAAATATCTCGGCCGCCTGCTGACACAGTTAGACAACCAGACGGGCGTGCACTTGAAGGACTTGCAAGTCGCGTCCGTGCGCCCATACCTCAGCAATGCCCGAACGGCATGGTTCCTGATTGAAACGCTGCGGTGTTTTTTTTCTTGGGCACCAAAGGATGTCAGCCGCAAGATGGCAGGCTCAATTTGGAAGCGCTACCCAGCAGCCACGGGCTGCTATGTGCCCTTGATGTACAGAACAACGAACGGCTTGCAGCGATTGAAGACTGCTGAAGAGCGTGAAGGCATTGCCAACCGGGCGCTCAAACTTTTGATGCACGCCGACCTTCTGACACCAGACACGATGCCGACGCTTCGGGAAGCTGTAGAGTGTGTAAGCCTTGGGCTGTGCAATGTTTCAAATTATAGCCAAGCCCAAAGTCTCCTTGCTCAAGATGGGCAAAGCAAGACGTATCGGGATGACCTCATTTTCCAGTCTTCACCCGCTTTGGCGCACATGCTGTTGGCAGCTTTCGATGTGCCAGAGGTAGTCCCCCACCAGGACGGGGATTCGCTGGAGGCAGTCATAATGGAAGCGGAAAGACGCTTCTCAGAGGTGCTGACTGGCCGGAAGGCCATCGCGTTGACTCTACCGCATGCGCTGCCTCCGCAGCTTAACCAGCAGAACATGACAGGCCTGCCGCTAGAACAGTTTAAGGAGATTCTGGCAGCATTGAAATCCAGCCAGACAGTGGTGCTGCGCAATGGGCCCAGTGCTCAAGGTGCTGACATTATCGTTCTTCGGAGGAAGCATGGAAGCAATATGCCCTTGGTTCGCCTGATACAGGCGAAGAACAAAAACAAGAAAGCAGATATGCTTCCAGCTATTTCAACACTGGGAGTCACATGCAGCAACAAAACAGTCACATGTCGCGCCTGGCATCGAGCTGCACAAGTTCTTGGATGGCTGTGCCGACTTGTGTCAGAGCAAGCTGGCCGTAATGCGTTCGAGCTTGGGAAGTTCAAGCAGCCCAGGACTAATGTTAGCGTCTCCGTCGAGCTGGTGCTTTGGGAGAGTATCCCCCGCAACGAGGCTCCTCCTACTTTGAGTCGACCAAAGTTTTTGCAACAGACTCCCACGTTCCGGCTGAGGAGCTTGCAACATTTGGCTCCGTTTCCTACACATATAGCGCGCCCCGATAGCAAGTATGTTGCGCAGAAGCAGTGGCCAAAGAAGAGGAGGTCGGGAAAGCCGCCGGCAAAGAAATCATCAGCAAGCAAACGATAGAGGACAGTGCTGTCGCTCTTGCATAGAGCATCATTCGAAAAAGGCGCGCTCTATTGCTGGTGTGGCATTCGAGTAAATAGTCTTGGTCATCACTCGAGAGCTTGCATGTTGCCTTGTTCTTCAGAGCACGTTCTGGTTCGGAGCTGACGGCTGCATGATTTTCACTCAGGTCCCAGCGGGATGCTGTCATCCAGGCTGGTGCGACGCAGCAGCCGATAGTTGCAGGCATGAATTGCCCTGTTATGAGGGGATGCTCTAGAAAGTGTCAACACAGCATTTTTGGGCAGGCTGCCAAAATGCTTCTTGCGACCTTACCTCAGCAACGCGAGAACCGCCTCACGCAGGCCTTCCGGACGTGGCAGGAGTCCCAGGGTGCCAAGGCGACCGTCGACCGCACTGGCACAAAACGCCTGCTCATCGGCATCGGCTTCGGTGGCTGCTTCGCCAACTGGTGCTCCCGCGAGCTTGGCGCCGTGCTGGATGAGACGGACCTCCCGGAGGCCAAGAGCATCCAGGGCTTGGAGACTGAGGTCCGCCGGGCGCACAAGCTCGTTTGGCGGCGGCTTCCCGAGGCCACCCGCGCGTCGCTGAAGGGGAGCAGCGGCGGCCGCATCGCCTTCTTCGCCTACGCGGACTGGGAGCGCAAGGTCCTGGATGCCATGGTGACCGCCGCAGGCACATCGAGCACGACGGTGTCAGCGTCTTTCCTGAAGCCCGAGACCGCGTCTTGAAGGCCGCAGCCGACCTTGGAGTCCAGGTGACAGCGAAGCAAGTCCCCGACGCCGTGGAGACAGCCACCGCTCTGCACCCGGAGTTTGACTGGTGCCTTGAGGCCCGACTGCCCTACGGCGACTACCAGAAGCTGCGGCAGCGGTGCAAGGAGAACGTCGCCCGCGGCCGGGCGCGCGCCAACAACGGGGACTTCGCTGACTTGCTCGTGGCCATGTTGGAGCCGATCATCTACGTGCCCAACCAGCCGCACGAGAGGGCGGACACCTACGAGTACTTCGGCCCGGACGGTGCGTGGGTGGAGGCCAAGAAGGATCACCTGGGCTACTTGATCCGGAGCTGCCTGAAGCGGCTTTACGGCAGCCTGGAGACTCCGCCCGAGCCTTTGAACGACATCGGCTTCGCGACCTCCTTGACGCAGGCGGTGCTGGGCGGACTGAGTGGCCGCACCTTCAAGCCGCTGAACGGGGACCACAGCCGCGGCAAGATGCTCCTAGCCGACGGCATCATCGCCGACTTTGAGACGGGCGAGATCCGACGGGCCCTCCCCCGGGACAGGATGAGCCTGCTAGCGGCAGCCGGGTCGAAGAAGTGGCGGCCTCCGATCGACACCGCCTTCTTCAAGACCGTCGAGGCCTTCCTGGAGACGGGCGCCAGCGGGCTGGAGGAGAACGAAGAAGGCCGCCGGGTCATCGCGGAGCTGGAGTCTTTGCAGCAGCACAGCGGGTGGCTTCGGATGCTCAAGAACTACGGCAGCTGGGACCAAGTGCTCTACTTGCTGCGCCTGCACTCCCGGGCTCTCAGCGGGTACGCCCGGATCTGCGAGCTGCTCTACATGTACGGCTGCGGCAGCAGCGGCAAGGACGTGATCTTTCCTCCCCTTGCTGACCTTCCTGGGGCACGAGGCCTTCAACTACGGGGCGATCCTGCCCGGCCGCTTCGTCACGGCCTGCCGCTCCGCCGAGGCCAACGCGGCGACTCCCTTCCAGGACCAGCTCGCCGGGAAGAGGGGGGTGTGGGCATCGGAGATTCCCTCCCACGACAACCTCAACGAAGAGTTCATGAAAGCTTTCTGCGAGCAGCAAGGCGCTCCGATAGCAGGCCGAGCTCTCAACAGAGGCCCCCGCAGCTGGCGTCCGCAAGGTCTCCTCTTCTGCACCTCCAACCACGCGCCCCGAGTACAGAACTCCGAGGACGATGGATGGACCAGGAGGGCACGAGTGTGGGAGACCCAGCACCGCTTCGTCGCGAACCCAACTGGTCCTGCCGAGAGGAAGGGTGACGATGGTCTCAAGGCCCGGATCCAGAGTGGGGCCTTCAATGCCGAGCTCCTGTACTTTGCCATGGGGCTCTATGGCTCCCTCAAGGAACGATTCAACCCCGGCACGATGTTGATCCCCATGCCGGCGGAGATGCGGGACGTGCAGGCTGAGCTGGCCAAGGGCTGCGCCCAGCGCTGTGCCACGGACTTCATCGAGAGCTGCTGCGACGTCGTGGAGGTGTACCAGGAAGGCACGCCGTGGAGCGCCATCAAGGACATGTGCCGCGAGTTCTTGGGCTTCGGACATAGTGAGATGTCCAAGGTCAACACGGCGCTGACCCGGGCCAACGTCAGGCGCCACGCCGCCTGCAGCAAGAACATCGCCCTCGGACCCAAGGGTGCCCTCCGCCT